AAGGCCTGAATATATTCCAGCCTAAAGTTTGGATCCTGGGCTAGGATAAGACTGTGGCTCTATTTTGTGATTCGAAAACCTTTGAACTCTTGTAAATAATTTATAAAGTCAAGTAGCAAAAATGCACAAATGTTATGCAGCCGATCTTTATACCAATTAGGTTTAGTACGAAGGAGAGACCCACTACAAACTATGGTGTCCAGAAAAAAACTGCCATACAAATTTTTTCGAAAATTTGCACAAATACAGGGGCTAACTCCAATATGGAAGGTGACTATGCCTAAGGCGTCTTAGTTTTCACGCTAAAAACCCTGCCAATGCCCCACTACAAACTTGACACCGTGGCAGCACAGTTGGTAGCAAAGAGCCTTATTTAGATCTGGGCTACCCGTGCCATGCCCTCTGGTTGCTGAGGTAGTACCCGGTCACGGTAAAAATATTATCATCTCCAAAAACCTCACCCAATTTACTCTCAACTAAACAATAATCATAGCGGGCAAAGACGAATTCTTCATCTTCCAGTGGTTCCGGTGTAATCGCTCAGTATGCTCTACATATCTGGGATAGCTAAGAAGAATCGCATCCGAATCGAAGTCGAAAGCAACCTCAATCATATCTCCATTTGACGACTTCTCAATTATGCAGTGCTCACCGTCATCCTCTGAGTTCTCAACCTCTTTCTAACCACACATCGTGTCGCCTCGACGACCGATAAAGGCGTCACCCCAATTACAACCAGGAGCTTGCCTCAATCTTTACCGGCCACCACTCTCTACATATTTACGACGCTATTTATACCCGCAAGGAGGAAATTAAGTCGAAAAATACAAAGCCCGGGTCTTGACTTATGGGGGACAGTTGCTCTAATGGGACTTTACATCTTGAAAAATTATAGGTGACTGAGGCGTGGGGCGTGGGAAGATATGAGGAAGAGCCCTACTGTGGGAATAATAGGTCTGACATTTTCGAGATTTTTTCGACTTTGAAGCGTTCGTGGGTGACAAGACCGAGATTTTGCCACTTAGCTAGTAGAGCTTCCATTATCGATGAGTCTACGGTACAAGAGAAGTTAGGCTAAGCTACTACACAGCAATTACGCTCTGTCAAGACTTTCTTGACATTTCAGTACGACCTTCGGGAAGGAGGCTAGAAAGACAGAGGGTGAATAAATTGAAATTAGTTCCGGAGATTGGAAGAATTACACACTAGTCTCGAGTTGATTTAGAGATACGATAAATGTGTTAAGTATACGAGGAATTTTACTGATATTTAATGGATAGTTAATTGTGATTAAATTGCTATGATTCTACACGTGCGGCTAGAAGTCCCTCTATATACATTCTTAAGAAAGATACGTGGGACACGGTATCACGTTGTAAATGTTGACTCGATAGCCGTAATGCTGCAGATGAAGTCTATGCACTGATAGTCAGGTCATGTGACCTGAATAGCTTAATTTACATGAGTAGGTGAAATAGTTCCCCTTGACATACATGAAAGCGGGGTTTTCCGCACATCAGTGTGAACTCCAACATACTTCCTAATCCAACCTAAATGGGAAAGTTGAAGATCCTGAAGCCAATGTATGTTGTCGGGCATCTATTGTCTAACTACTATTCATGCCAGTGAGTGATGACATGGGTTAATCATATTTCATGGCGCCAGTGCATATTATTCTAATATGTACTATTTGTCTACTGCAGTCATGTTGCTGCCTTAATTACAACAGAATTCTCCGAGGTATTCACAAGTCTACAGCGCCCAGCTGGCCGGCCTCTTCGAACGCATCAGAAGGGTTACTTTGTCTTCGGACTTAGTTCTTATGTTGGTGCTAGAGGAGCTCTACACCCAGTGGTTTTTGCGATTTTTCCAGACTGCCATACACCCGCAAATAGCCATCATTTTGTTGGCTGGAGAGGGGAGATAATGAAGGGCAAAGAGTACCTCTTAGTGTATGATCGAATGAGGGCTTACGAGGAATGGTGCTGCTTGAGGGGAGCTGTTGTGAGTGTATAGGATATAATATACTACTGGCATAGGTGTGCTTGGCCTGTAGGCAGAGAGTGTCATGTAGAGACATGATTCATTCATGAGTTGATATTGTTCAGACGATCATGACTATATCACAACGTCATGTACAGACACGATTCATCGTTTGTACCTGTTGTATCAACCATGACTATGTCTCAGTGATATGAGAAACATCATTGACTAGTTACTAGAAACCTAATCAAGATCCTAAACACACAACTGAGACTAGGAGAATTTTACTGAGTAAGTAATTATTCTGATGAATCTAGATCTAGAGGAACATAATCTGGTTGCTTGGCTCGAGGTATATGAACCTGAGCATATCATGTATTATAAACTATATAGAAATCTATCTCAATCACAATCATCTTAATTCATGTCACCATCAATAGCTGCAAAGGACAGTTTAACCATTTCCTAATAGAGAGGACCTGCATGTCCTACATAGTCATAGACTCAGACAGGATAATAAGTGAAATAACAATAATGGGAAAGGTGTCCAATGCACTGGATATTGATTGAATCTGAAGGCACAATGAACACCGACACCATTTGTCCGCACTCGAGATCCACGCGAGCCTGGACCAGCTCAGGCCGCTTTTCCCAATTCGGGGCCGGGTTACTAGAAGCCACCAAACTAACGACCTCGGCCGGCATACCACTGCATCACCCGGCCAAATCAGCCTGCACATCTCTAGAAGCTCACAGAAGAAGCCAGCTTATCGGTTGACAGCTGCGTGCAGGTATGCAGAGTATCAGCACTGTTGTGAAGCCTGGACGGCTATCATCGGGCAGCCGGCTAAGCGGAATGCTGTTAAGATGGGTACATGCTTAGTCACGCATCATCACCGAACGCATCTAGAACGGCTCATCTCACGCGAATCAAGAGGCAGGCGAGCGGATGATGTTTCAGCGTGCAGGGGCATCCCAGATCTCCGTCGACATGGAAATCACCTGCGAAGCACTCGTAGTCAGTGTGAGATAGTCCGACGTGACCGGTTAGTTGCCCAGCTGCGGCGACGCGCTCAGGACACGCTTTGCGCGGCGAGAATGGGTGTCGGAGAGCGGGAGTAGGGATGGGCGCTGGTGCCGGGACCTGCGACGGCGGAGTTGACGCCTCCCGACACGGCGACGGTAGTCCGGGCGCTGGTGCCGGGTAAAGCCGGCTTTACGGCTTGGCGCCTCCGCGACGGTGCGCGCGCGCGCTGAGACGTCGATGCGGCGAGAAGCGCGACGGACACTAGTCAGCGCATCGCCGCCGCCGCACGGCTCGAGACCGCGGTCACGAGAGTCCGGGCGGAATGGCGGCGTTTGTGCGGCGATGCGACGTTGAGAGGCACTAGAAGTAGCGCTACTACCACTATCCAGCTGCGCTTGATGCCGTACGAGCGTCGCCCTGACCATGCCGCGGCCAAACTCCACTGCGGCGGCGGCGACGGCGGCATCAACACCGCAATGCCAGCATGACCCGGCTGATCTCGACACTCCTTCTATGATTCATGGGCCAGGAGTGGATGAGAGGCACTTGTCGAGACTGGCGCGCTGGCAGGGAGGGGCAAGTCGGACTTTAGTTGGTGACTACGCTTCACGGCTGGGCCGCGGGACTCTTCAGGATCCGGTACAGTCATTTCGTCCATCACGCAATGAGGCTCAAGGGCGGGACGAGTCTTCGTGTCATGTGCAGCGGATGAGCGGATGAGCTGGTGCGTCTTGGGATCTTCCTTCATAGCCGGGACTCAGCCGGCTCCGAGGACTTTCGGCCACTGTCCCTGCTCCGACACTTGGTCGACGGAGATTTCTCTCGCGCAAATCACAAAGAAATATTCAGCAGTTCCGACACGCAACTCACAGATCGTCGTCATCCCATCTAGAGAGCAAATTTCATAGACCGAGTCTCCACCGAAAGCTGGTTCTCCACACCTTCTCCCTCCCGTTGCATTTGCCCCTGTTGAGTTACCATAGCAACAGATTACGATTTACTATAAAGAAACGCGCAAGTCTTATCGTAAGAGCCTTATCTTGACGCCGGAATTTGGATCCTCAATGACAAAATTAGCGTCACGACAGCGTGAGGAGATGCTTGATGCTGGCCACGCTGGGGTCTAGTACGATACAAGGATTTGGCTGGCAACAGGCTGGCGTAAGGGGCTCAGGCGTCCTTGCCGAAACTGAGGACGAAGCGCTACGGCGCGAAGATAGAGAACTCTCAGGGCGGTCGGACCAACCATGCCTCAAAGCATGAAGGAAGCCTGGAACTATCCCCTCAAGCAGGCGTGTCCATGTCATTTGTTCCCCGGTTTCTGGCCAATTGTTTCCAGCCCGGCCAGCTCGCCAAACATGTCACGGTATGGTAGATGCGCCAGTGGCATAGTCAAGAATCTCCAAAAAACCAACCATCACTACTCCCTGGCTCTCGGAGATGAGGCCTACGAGCTTGGCTGAGGTATATGGCATTCAGGGCTACCCTTACTCCGCATCCTGAAAAAAAAGCTTAAAGTTCTCGACTGTTCTCTTAGTAAGTTCTGTAAGCAAACTCCACGACGTTGTCCCTGCATGCGTCAGATAATGTAATCATCCCAATGACATGTATCCCCGAATGATATTACATTTGTTTTGGCGGTATTGGATGCATGCTAAAGTAGTTGCATAGTTGTAGTGATGTGGGCCATCGCCGATTTGCAAGCATTTGACTTCATGGGTATGTCAAAAATGTAGAGACCCAAGTAACTGATTCGTACTGACTACAAAATTGGAAAAGTCCGTGAGGAGCAATTCCCGACAAAAACGCGCTAATTACCCTAATTTTATCACATAAACTAATTGCCGACTCCTCCCTACCGAAGTGCTCTGATCCCTGTTTACTATATTCGTCTGGCACCAGAGAAATTAATTAGACAATATTTTAAAAAGGCCACCTCAAGAGCCCACGAATGACACCTTCAAAATTATTACAGAAATATTCAGACAGCTTAATCCATGTAAAAATCACCCTTAAGTATACGCTCTTGAAATGCATCCGGGCTTCGGCGAACTGGTCCCACGGGAACCGGTGCAGATGCAGTATTTACGGGCGCTGGCATCATTTCAGAAACGCTATTAGCCCTGTGGTGTGGTTTTCGAGTGTTCTGCCCAAAATTCGGCGAAGATGAGAGCGGAGATTGATAGGCTTGCGAAACGGCGCTTTCGGCCCGGTATTTAAATTGCTCCGAAACATTGAGTCCGCCTTGCCTCATGTTAGCATAGTCACTCAGAGTATTAGGTTAATGTCAAAATTTATTTTATATCATCTCAACTTGGGGACTAGCGGATATACGGGACTCCATATTCCAGGTGAAATTTGGGGGTATTTGTAATAAAAGGCATTATTTTACCACTGAGACCTGAATTACCACCTCCTCTGGCGCTGCGAATGGCTTGCGCCCCAAGTGACATGCGACGAGGGAAAGTAGCAGAAAGAGTTGGGCGGCTGGCATCATCATCGTCAATTGCGTTCTCGTCGATAGCCTCAGAGTTGGAAGAACAGACGCTGACTCGTCGACCACCCAGGAAGTATTGAGATGGCGAATGGGATGGCGGTGTCCCAGATAAGCCCAATGTCGAGAGAGACATGCGTCTATGTTGGTCGTTTGTGGCTGTTGTCGTCGTTGGGATAGGAAATGGGGAAGACGGAGCTCCAGGCGTACACTTTGCTCTGTTTAGAAGACTGTTGAGAGGTAGCGGCGTGACGGAGCTGCGGCGCCGGTGATGTTCATAATCGTTGGTGTTTCTAGAGTTTGACATGATATTTAGAGTATGATAAATATCAATCGTTCAATCTTATAGCATCCCTTGCTTGCGCACTCTAGATTTCCGGATACTTACCGTGGATGTGATATAACCGCTCCCTGAGATAAGATATGTTGCTGAGCGAGTATTGTGTAGGCCACGGTGAGTTGGAAATCTCACAGCTAAACTGTATGCTAGATGAGGGATCTGTCAAGTCAATAGAATTGCTGAAGATTGATGATGAGTCTAAGCCGGCGTCTGGGTGCACATTATACTTATCTTCCCCTCTTCTCCCCCTCCCCAGCACCCTTGTCTAGATGACGCCACACTTGGCAGCCCCCCGTCTTCATTCGTTCACACCGCTGGTGGCCTAGCGCTTCAAGGCAGAAAGATCCTAAAGTGGCATGGACTCGGTAGCGAGCTTAGCGCGCCAGACACTCCCTGGTCTCGAGCGGCCCATATTGAACAGAACGGAATATATGACAGAGACGCTCGTAATCTGCTAGATTTCCTGCATCATTCCGTCACCGACCTTTTCCAGTCCATCCAGCAATGTGGGGTAATCTCATCAAACCACGCAAGTCCCCTTCTCAGCACTTGGACGCTTACGGATGAAAGAAGCAGATTTTTGTACGTCATCAACCACTCTGCGAGCCGACTCCCGCCATGAATCTACAATGATACCAAATCATCGTTACATACGCTTAACGCGCATGAGTAAAGTATGGATAGATAGATTAAGCCTACATGACATCAGTAGAAACGAGTGCGCAAATATGTATTCTTCCACTTCACGCAATGCTCATCGTGCTCACAGTGCGAATGTCCCCGACGTCAACAGAGTCATCCTGCATGTGTAGATAATGCCGATCACGTGCCATAGCCAGATAGCCGACTACAAACGAAACGATTTTGATAGAAGCCGATCGTGCTAGACAACTCCTACGGCAGAACCATGGGCGATATAATTGTACAAATGTAGATTTGCCCAGGTTACTTTTAAATTTGAGTATTTAGTGTAGAGCCCAGACGAAGATCGAAAGGGCAAGTCAGTACATTTCCAGACGTGGAAATAAATCAAACCTTGGGAATTGAGCTCATATTTCTAAAAACTCGGATGGCTGGACTCGTGGGAGATGCTATTGTTTGCTCATGAAGATTTATGCAATTCAGATCAGGACATTGACAGTAATATTTGACCAGAAATAAAGGTTACCAGCCATCTTCGTGCCTCCTACGGCACGAGATCTCCCAGGCCCATCAGCCTACCTATCTGCTTGAGGTGGCTAAGTGCTGCCTCCACCCTACCATACTCGAACAACCTACACAAACAGTGACGAGTATTAAATGTCCATTTTATGGCATTTTCATCCGGGTAATTTTGGGTTGTCCTGTACATAATTTGGTAGATATTTACAAGAGTTATTTAGGGGAGTGTACTACGTGATCTATTCTGAACGATATAATCTATCCTTCTCCCGAACATACGTGAAGCTTGATCATGTGTTCTATTTACGCTGCATGACCCTGAAACTCAGGTGGATGATGCTTATAAGCCATTTTCTGGAGATCCCATGACCACGCCTATATCGTTGGCAAGTCACAGAATCCGCTTATCACATATATCGTAGCCGCCCGGGTAAAGTTGACGTCGGATAGGGAGCAGTCTTGGCGATCGGCAGCTATTTTAGAGAGTCGAGGTATTGGGTCAGCTTTGACTGGAATCAGCCTGGAAAACTAGGCTGGAATTGTCTGGAATCAAGGTAAAATTGCGGGTAAGTTTGATCAAAGCTTGAGCAAATCTGAGCTCAATGATTAGAATGTTTCAAACTTACTCTAGGCTCTTGGCTATGTAACTTCTTACAGTGATGTGGTCTTTCCTGGTCTTGAGTCCGTCAATATCCTCTCTCGCCAGCGATTCAAATTTAAGTCCTCGAGCCTGTGCCCTAATCTCCCGAAAAATCGCCACCTTGAGTATGTATACAAAATGTATATATATTCGGGTGTAAATCTCTAGTAATAATAAAGCTCAATTTAGACATTCCTACGTGTGTATTTTTCATAGAAATTGTCATTTAACTTCAAAAGACACAGGGAATGTTCTAGGGTGAAGAGCTTCTTGTCCTCATTCGTAGTTTCAGATTATATATCACAGTCATGCCTTGCCAGCAAGCTAGTATTCTTGGTTTATTTGAAAGTTTTCTTGTCATGATAGATATTAATTACAAAATATGATTGTGGTATGTAGTTTATTTACTTGTTTATCAATATACTAGGTGATTGGTACCCTTCGCACTCCTGTGGAAGCTAGAACATAGGTGGTGCAGATATACATCAGGTTAACTGTTATCCAGGGCATAAACTCCTCCCCACCTGAATTATTAGACCAACTTAGACTTCAACTATGCATTGAATCGTGCCAGCTTCAACTATTCAGAAAGTTCGGTGTTTAAGCATTGATGCACAAATCCTACCTTACTCAAGACCACGCGACCAAGCCATTGAAACCTTCATGTTCTTGAACTTTTCCATATATTCCAGTCACAGTTGTGCTTGTCCCGATGTCTCCGCGTCTCACCCACGAGTTGTTTTCTTCATTGGAGGCCTTATCTAGCCGCTTGCCGTGGTACCATTCATTTTACTGTCTCTTTTCTGTGTCCACAATTCTTTGCCCATTCCCCCTTGCTGCCGCAAAACTTACCCTGCAGGACGAATGCGCGTCCAAGATCTATAGACTGACGCACCGATGCTTCGGCTTTTGTCGGATGCATTGGTTGGTATTCCAGCGAGATGAATGTAGCTGCATGAAATCGGCAAAAAAGATAAACGGTGAATGGTATCACTTGTCTTCGTATGAATAGCAGTTTGGTATAAGCCCGTCTGCAGATCGTGTTTGGGACGAGGATGAGAGAGGTCGATGATCTATGCATCCGTAAACCTCTGCAGCTTTGGTTTGTGACGAAAATAGGACCAATTCCATTCTTCGAGACGGCCATCTCAGCGAGAACCTGTACATTGCGCCCTCCTTGTGGCCGAGTCTCGCGTCTGGTGTAACAGCTCACCTATAATATGGAAAAGATTGACTGGCAGGGAGCTTTCATCTTCTCAACCACAGCAATACTTCGTCGTTTGGTTTGGGTCGTAAACTGGACCCCTGAGATGGCGCGCATATGCTGTCCTTCGATGGCTTATTCAGCACATGGACATGACGTAGCAAGGTTCACCCGGAGACCTTCTAGTGTGAGCGGGTATGAGGCAGATGGGGATTCCGGATGTCGCCTAGTCACGTTGATCGACAGCCTTTGGAATTTCAAAACGAGACGCAATTGAAGTTTATTTCTGAAGAATCTGCATGATAACACTTTCGATCGACCATTATCCATGATTCTCTTTATCGAACAAGATAACACTATCTTGGTGTACGTACAATTTCAAGATATCAATACGTGACTAAAATTCCCCTGACTTTCCAGCCTGCCCTGATCGCCGATTTTACGAAGTCCTGGCATGCGAACGGGCGCTCGCTCCAACGTTACTTTCAATCACTCCATTAATGCAGCCTCGTTACGAAATGCCAGTAACCTCGATAGCCGATCGCCATTCGCCGTTTATCCTCGGCCGGCTTGACCGATAACTTGATAGGTTTTGGGGAATGGGTGACCGCCACATTGATGCATGAGAAAGTTTGATCAATCATGGCAGCGTGTGCGAATTTACTGCCTACAACCCTGGCAAAAGAAAATGAGCGAAGTATCTCAGTGGCAGAAGCGGATTGATGATAGGTTTGAAGTTTCCTACATTTCATAGCAGACAAAGACATGACCACTGGGCTAAAAGGCCAGAGCGCAATCGAGATCACTGCAGTCAGCCATAATCAAACAGAAGGATTACAGAGGGCAATTTCATCACTGGGCAACAATCCACTACCATCATCACTACCCTCTGAGTACAAGAATCAAATGGCGTAGAAAAACTTCTGGAGATGGCTGAATTAGATTGATTTGCTGATCTTCCTGATTTATTATATCACTGGCCTATATACATTCGAGCTCCTCTATATCCCATCATTTCTTCTGAGCCTGTCGCTCTTCATCGATTTGAACTCCTAGATTAAGGAAAAAACCCCATGTCCACCTCGTGAAAACAAGAAACTCCTAGCTCACTAAAATGAAGTGCGCGCATGAAGAAATGAACCGATATGGTTTTGTGAGCCTGTTCAAAGCGCACGCGAAAAGTAGAGTAAATTGATGGAAGCTGATGTAGTCTGATAAATTTCAAAATTATTTGTATCTAGCGCTACATACCAGCGTGTCAAGGTGAAATCTAGTGCTAGTCCTGGCTTTTGAAAGCTCCAAGACCTGAATACTTTAAATTGGTGCGCGTTCCGTGCGTGATTTATAGAAAGTGATTGACACGTGAGTCAACGATGGAAGGCGCTGTGGTCCGCCTCCTGATGGTTGTCTCCGGTAAAGTTGGAGTAGCCTGGGCACCTACTCCACTCACGAAAGAGACGTCTCGGATTGCATTTCGCGCGGAGAAAATTCAGTGGATGATGGAGGCATGTCTGGATAACCCAGGCATTTTGAAATGTTGCCCTGGGTGGGTTTTCACGGATGAGGGTAGACTTGGGGTGAAGAAAAAGCCACTATGACTTCGCAGTGGTACTTGCGAATGAAATCTGAGGCATGAGTGCTCCTCTTGTAAATTGACTCATCTTTTCTGTACTTTTCTTTGATATTGGGTTTGAATTTGATTTCAATTAACCTGATCAGGCTCCCTATGGGTCCATGCAGGTGACTATCTGCATTATTTACAAAGGAAGAAACCAATTTGGTGAAATGTTGGAAATGGAGACACGGAGTGTTGTGGACGTATGGGCCCTCCATTTCGTCTAGGTTCCCGAAACGATCTTGTGTGTATGTAAGAGGTTGGAATAGGTAAAATGGAAGCGCTTCAGGCTACCTCTTGGAGACATGAGGGACTTAAATTTAATTCTATTCTATTCTATTGGAGAC